CTTGTTTATTGATTGATTTAAAATATTTGTTAGCTGCTTATCAGCCCAGACTGGTTTCCAAATAAAGCATATCGATACAATGCAATGACATAAATCATACAACTAACAGCAAACAATAAAATTCACTGTGAAAACAATCATATAAAAGAACTTTCAAAAGATCCCGTGACATCCATGGGCAGAAGTGCAAAAATAAAGGGGTTCTCTTATTCACAGACACATATATGCAAAACAGTTCCCAGCAATCACACCGGTATGAATAAGAAATTCATTTTATGACAAGGGCTATTCAGAAAGTTCCTGTTGGCAAAGTCTACTGGATTAATTGCCTTTAAAAAAATAACACACTGTCTTCAGAAGCCGAAAGCATTGTATTAATGATAATCTAATGTTTTTTTTGTCTCTAGGATGATAATACAGTAGAAATTCTTAATGGAACAAATGATCCAGTTGTTGAGTGCTCCTGTTGCTTCCGCACACACGCACACACTCGAACAATGTAAGAGTTCTGCTCATCTTTTTCAGTTGTGGCTAATCTGTTGCTCCTGGTAAACTGAGAAGCAGGGCACTAAAGCACAGCCATTTATTATTTGTTTTCTGCATTTATTAGTCAGAGGCATATTGCTGCTGAACATGGAGGCTCCGCTGAGCAAAAAAGCTAAATTACCATCAGTTGCAAAGTGTTTCAACAGTCAGTAACTGGAGGAGCTAGGTATAAGAGCACACCTTTCATATCCACAAAAATAAACATCTGCTTGAATATTCATGTTGTTTGTAGTGGTTAAAGCTATTAAAACCTCCTTGTTTTCAGTACAAATTTTGAAACTGAACTTTCTCAGAATTATGCTGTATAGCAAGTATACTCAGAATCTTTAGGAGGAAAAAAAATCTGTATGAGAAAAAAAGAAAAAAACACCTCACTAAGGACTAAGCATCATTACCCTAAGAAATGCTGTTGGTAGAAATGTGTAAATAGATATTCTGGCAGCATGTAGCTGACCATGACTCAACTTAAAAGTAAGTTGGGTAGGCCCTGAGTAATACTTGGATGGGTGACTGCCTGGGCTACTGAGAAGCTGAAAAAACTTCCTAAAAGAAGCCACTGTCATGACATTGCCCAGGATTCAATCATTCACTAGTCAATCATTCTATTCGAGGGTGTGTAAAACAAATATTCTAGAAAATTTAATTCAGATTTTTTTTTTTTTGGTGCCACATCTGAATTTACTACTACATTCTTCATAGTGTATGGAACCGAGAGATTGATTCCTTGCTTTTCATTTTGGCCACGATTGGCCCAGACAGCCCATACTGAGAGAGCATGGCCATATAATTTGGAAATCTGCCTGGATCTTCTTGTTGTTGGTATCAAGTTTGAAAAGAAAACCAGTGAAATCCATTTCTGCTACTTCGTGCCTGATTACACAGTACTGTGGTTATCTCCTCATTAGTTAAGGTAGGATATGCAGTGTGATATTCATGGACACCATTAGGCTTATAGATACAGCCCATAGCACCTACTGGATTTTAATATTTAAAAAAAAATACTTTAATTAAAAAGCAGGGATATGCAATCTCATTATAAATGGATGTTTTATGGCTGGCCATGCCCATCACAGCAGCCATTTTGTGCATATGCAAATTCTTCCCATGACAATTAATTATGAAAGTGTCTTGTGGTGCCCTTAATATTCCAAATCTGCCCACTAATCTAAAAAAAGTTGCTGAAAGTCTGTCTGGAATAGCTGTTTCAGAATTGTCCGTGGCGTTTAACATTTCCATAAAAGAAGATGGTATTTCAAGAAAAATCTCTTGCCAGCTTTACTACATTGGTTAACATAATTAGATGGGAAGCCAATGCGAAAGAATAACACAGAAGTCTGTGGGATTTAGGAGCTTCCCCAAGACAGGGTTTGAGAGCACATGGTACCATGATCATGCTGCAACTAAGCAAACCTGGCCAGTATTTGGCTGGGTTAATCCCTCTGAATCATGTATATGCTGCTTTGAATTTCATTGATGACTAGGAATAAAAAATGAACAAGGGAGCCTTCTCTAACAAAATGTTGCAGCTTGGTACATTTGTGTTCAGGATGTCAGCTGTGTCCTCTTCCAGAATAAAGGCAGACATCCTTGCTCCTACCCAAGGTGATGAAATGTGCGCTGTAATATTGCAATGCAAATCCTGCCCTTTTGCACTTGTGTCATGATGTCACATACAGGTACGTAAGGGGCAGAGTTTCTGTCACATTCTTGGACTGCATGTTTAGATGCTTGCCCCTGTGAAGATGCCTATGGCAGGCTTCTTTGTAGAGGAAGTAAAGAGAGAAGTGACATCATGCATAATAGCACTGAGCACATTATGCAACTAATGCACCATATGTCATTCATATTATGATGCAACTGATGCAAATTAAATAATTTGCATGATTTGCTTGATGAGGTCATGATGCATGTGACATTGTGGCTTCTATCAAATGCATATAGTGAAATCCAGGGAATTTGAACACTCAATCCTCACTATTTTCCATCAATTTTTGGACCCTATTTCTTGAACTTTCCTTCACCAATGATGTCTATGACTGTATCAACTCCAACATTCTTTCACATAACAAATAAAAGACTACCCACAAACCTCCGAAGCACACAGAAAACTAATAAGTGGGAAAAAATGTAGTCGTACTCCATAATGTGATAATTTATTATCACACAGGAACTTTTGATGGTGCAAAACCGCAGACCTTCAGCAATACATTCCAGAAGAATGCGACATAGATAGCCCATAGCTTTGGTAACCATATATTGGGAACTTCCAGATTAGAAGAAGACCGTAAAAGTTTTGGGAAGATTTCCTAAAAATAGTTTCCAAAAAAATCTGTTTAAATCACAATTGAACGGGTTGATTACGTAGACTGGATATTCTGATCATAATCTGCTAGTACCCATTGTGCCTTTCGTATTATGCATCTCAGTATGTGAACATCAAAAGCAGAAGGAGTTATGTGGGTATCCTATGCCCCAGGTGAATGGAGAGAATCTACTGCAGTGGCACTCCAGTTAGGAAATGTTATTTTCAGAGAGCCTCTTTGCAATGCTGGGCCTTTATATTTTCCACAGCTTTAAGATAGCATTTTAGTTCTCAACTTAACCTGGTTTTTAGCATCTTGCTTTCTTTTCCCATACGCTGTCCTTTGAATTATTCAAGTGCACGTTATATGTACATTTAAAAAAAAAATCCTCTTAAGCTCTTTTGAGGTAGCATAAAAATAACTATAATAAATAAAATAAATATGCAGTCTACCCACAAAAAGTGCTACATAGTGCAAAATAACTCTTGGAAGAGGGAATGTTATGAATTTCAGGAAAAGCAGAAAGTATGTCTCTGGGCAATAAGGAACAATGTCCTAAGTAAAAAATTATGCTACAAAAATGAATCTCTGGATTTAGCTAATATCTGTCATGGTTCTGCTGTCTCTGTCTTTTCTTGAAGTGTGGCACAATCCATGTAGCATTTTGGAGCAGAAGACTTAAAACTGAAGGGGTTCTAAAAGGCTAGTCTTTTACCCTAGGAAAGACATGTGAAATCTGAGATCCTTTTCCAAATTTCACCAAAAGGCCATTCCCAGTCTCTCCTAATACTTACTTGTTTTTATGTGTGAATAGCTTATACAGCACTGTTTTCTCCAAATAAAAATAATTCTCCTGCTATTTAAACCCATTGTTTGTCCTATCATCAATGGATTGCAATTATATTTCCCCACTTTCCCTGTCTTCTTTAAAGCAGTCCATCTTCTCATCCCACATTATTTCTTCTACAGGCCAAAAAGATTCAGTTATGATTTTGCTCTGATTCTTCTTCTCGGCTTGCTCACCAATTAGTTAGCCTGCTACTCCAGAATATGGATTTTTTTGTTGGGCTTCGAGCAGGAACTTCAGCAGTTTGTCTAGAGACCTGTTTTTGTAACGTTTTTCAAAAGACTCCGGAGCTGTTACATACTAACAGGATATTTGTTTCTCTATCAAACGTGTATGCAATACTCATGGACCCTGCATTCTGTCTTGAACATACTGCACATATGGAGCACTCAAAGTATATTATTTTCAGTTAATGCACGTATTACTATTCTCCTATCTACCAGTTGCTTTTTCTTGTGTGTTTCCCTCAAAACATCCTGAATCCAGTAACCAGAATAACAACTCTTATTTCATAATATCTCTGATCAGAGAACTAGGCTTAGCCTTAGACATTTGTTATCTTATGTAACAAGTGCACATAGCTTATTTTTCAGCATAGTTGAAAGTTCATGGATCCAACACAGATATCAGTTTTTTCTGGTTTTATGACTCACTGACAATAGCTTAAAGGATTGGTTAATAGGAGTGGGAACCTGGGAGATCTGCAGATGTTCTGGACTCCAACTTCTAGCAGGCCAAGTCAGAATGGTGGTGAAGTTCAAGCAACATCTGGAGGCCCTAGGTTCCTCATCCTAGTTTATATTTTTAATCCTTTCTTTCAGGAGTCATAGGACCTATGAATATTTTTCTCCCAATATTGCTTCCAAAATATCTTATATGTGGTTTTTTTGTCTGTCTCTCTATCATTACCCCTCTTTTTCTGTCTCCACTTCCAAGAAACAAGCAAACATGCAATATGGAAGCAAAGGGAGAGCTTTTCATACCCCCTGCAGCAACTGTTCTGTCCTACTTCTTCTGTTCTTATTCAACAGCTGCCTATAATCATAATAAAGTCAGCCGGGCAAGGTATATTGTAAGAGAAACCTCAGAGCTCCCCCAAATTTCTTAGATTTAGAAAAAAATTGATTTGAACATCAGAGACCTGGCTTTGCCACTAAGAACTAGTGAGAAAATAAAAAATGTCATAACATTTTGAAACATCTCTTTCAACAGCTTTTTGTCAAAGAACAATACATGAATATAAGCTCTGTGAACCAAATGCAAACCACATTTTCTTATACCAAAATCCATGTCGCATGACATACCTTAAGTTCTCTGAAGAATATGCTACTCCTGGCCCACTCGACAATTGAGAAGAGGGTTTGGTCAGCCATTTTGCACATAAGCCCAAAAGTGTTGAGCTTTTCATGCTTGCTTCTGTTGGCCTGCTCTTGCTGCAAGTAGGCCATAATCTTGGCCTGGACTTGAGGCTCATCTGGCTCACACTTCAGGAGTTCCAAAATCAGATGAGGAATACTTGCTGGCGAGCTGGTCTGATGGTAACCATCCATGTACGAGTAGCCCATTATCGACTCTGGAGAGCTAGTATAAGGATCGGGGTACTCAGATTTGATAGCACGGCTTGGAAAGTGACTGTAGCTCTGATAACCTTGTAGGCTACCATGTGGTGGCATTGTCATGCTAATCGGAGAGGTTACAAAAGGACTTCGGTCATAGTCTGTGGGAGGCAAGGCTGTATGGTTCAGAGGTAGGCCCTTGGAGGCAGAATGGATGTTCTGGATTGCAGAAGATATTGTTAGATCAGTGGGCATTGCTTGAATCACCTGAGTCATGGCTTCTAATTTGAGTCCATTTGCTCGGATGAGAGCTTTCTTCTGCTGCTTCAGTGCCCTGTCCCTCTTGTACATGGGTCCAAATTTGTTCCGACCCCCACGCATTCGGTCAGCTCTCACGGCTGTTGAATGTAGCAGTGAAAAAAGTTATAGGCATCACATTACAGATATGACACAAATACAAGTATTGACACGAATCTCGTCATTTTTAGCCCCTGATCAACCTGTAGCACAAAATTTATATTGTAGGGATTTAATGTTACTGTTTTAAGGATTTTTATTTTCTTTTAATGTGCTTTATTGTGATTTCAATTTTGATGAGCCACCTGAGAAGGTCTAACACTGTGAATAAATATATTGTATTAATTTGCAAAGCATTTACTGTTTTCCTGTTATATAGCTGGATGAAAAAACACTGGTGAGGAATCCAAAGAGCATAATTCAAGCTTAGTGCTTTAAATTTTCTAGTAAATCTAACAGGAGAAGGCTAAGAAATTCTTCCACTAGGCACAACAGGACTCAAAACTGCTTATTTGGTGCTGTACAAGACCTTTTAATAACAGCTTTTTAAAATGCTCATGATTTAATTTTCCTAACTATTTTTTTATCACCTTTTGGCTTAACCCATTGAGTGGATGTTATTCAAAGGCATTTAATGCTCTTCACATTGGCCCTTACTCTGAAAATATGAAGCCTGGCAATTTTGAAGAGAAGTAATAAATTGCACTACTGTTAGTTCCTCAGTTAGATTGCATATGATAAAGAGCAAAGTGTCACCCATGCCAAAAATGGATGGATTTTGCAACTTCCAATGCATTCATATCATATCAGAATTAGGATTGTGGAGAAAAAGTGTTGGTCTTGGTTACAGTACTATGTTGCCAAAACATGTTTTGAAAGCAGCAGTATTTTACCAAGACTATCCTTCCCAAAGGCATTCAGACGGTAAGAAGGCCTTTGACAGCTTGGTGACATGCTGAGATCGCTGGAGGTTACGTTACTAAGCTTTTATCTTACGGATTAGCATGCCATTAAAAATGTATTAGAAATCCTAGGTATACAGAGACCTATAAAACTATCATAAAGATGTTAACAATTAATGATTTGATCCTAAAATGTAATTTATGAACTAGAATGTAAGACTATGTATCATAATCAAGGAAACATGCATATAAATATCGTGAACATTTACAGCTGAAAGCATGAGTTCCTTCCCATCCTGCTGATAACAAAGAGGAAGTCTGTTTGTATAGGAGAATAGTAGCAAAGTAATCTTTAATAAATAACTAAATAAGCAAACAAACATTGGTCAGAAACACATCCTCTCTTAACTTTCTGCTGGCAAAGAAAAGGTATGCGGCCCTTTTTTCTTAATTATCATCTCCACACAAAAGCTGTAACAACACATTCAGCAAAGAAGTCGGGTCCTGTTTCTTTTGAAAACTAGCACTTAAAAGTCTCTGTGCACTATTTAGTATGAGCAGCAGGTTTTTAGCTCTGTGGACCTCAATGAACAAGAAGATTAGGGGCTGTATGTAAAATGGTAAATAGGATTCGTTAGTGTATTCACAGAAGTTTTATGCACAGGCACCCTCCTAACATAACTATCATTTCTAACTTTGTTCCAGAATATTCATGTTTTCAGTGATATAATCTGTCACATCCTTCTGTTATAGTTTTGTGTTCCTTATTGGTTTTTTTTTTTTTTAATGGAAAGACTATTAAGCCAGTAGTAGATATCATAGCTTCTCTGGTTAAGACAAAGGTAGAAAATATCAAAACATTTCTGTGTAATACTAATATAGAGAGGGAGAGCCCTTCTGAGAAGAATTTGTAGACAGGTGCTTATATCCTATCTTCTTGTTCCCCTTCCAAATCTTCGAAATATCTTTTGCTCCTAAACAAGGAGCAAGCCTGCCTTGGGCACAGGGGGGGCGGGGGGATGACCTTGTAAGATGCATTTGCAAAAGAGGAGTAGAAGGTATAGGATAACTTGAGAATGTTTTCCATCTACCCACCAGATGCCCCTTTACTGTATTAGCATTATCTTGGAAAACACAGATTTCAAAACATACATTTGATGTGATCACTTTATCTCTACTCTGATATTCTTTGTTGATTCCAATCTAGGTTGCTGTAGTTCAAGGGGTTTTAACAGCTTCAAAGTTAGGTTTAATTGGCATAAACAGAAGTATTCTGAAATAAGCAGTTTATGGACTGCAATCTGTATTCACATGGTCTTCATCTACACATAAGAAAATGGACAACTTCTAATGGAGAAAATTAGCTGATTTGCTGCTTTGATCTTGGTAACTAATGAACAGAACCCTCAGCGCCCTTAAATAAACTGACACCAATGCTGGTGATTTTTTGAAATGGCAAATATAGTGTAAGAATTTTTACAATTAAATAATAATAACAATCCCTAACTCATTTTCAGACAACAAATATTTCACATTATCTGAGAATTAAAGCAACTTCAAAAAATAAACAAATGTCCCTACCAATAAACAAACTCAAGCTTTAAGTTACTGATTTGTTGACTAAAGATTGCAATTATTAATAATTACATTATAGTTTCCCATCTTTAAAAACACACTAAAACTAAAAATAATAAACAGCACAGTACTAAATGTTTTTGTTAGAAGTAAGATCAGTTGTAATCAATGGGATTTTCTCTGTGCTTTGTTTGCAGCTGGACTATTAAATATCAATGAAGAAAAGTAGTGAAGAATTAGCCAACCATGGCATCTGTGACAAATATATTAGAATACGTAACTGGGGTCATATATCTAAATGTAAATATTTGGGATGAGAATTTACTCCCCCATCATTTGAATCCTTACAAACTAATGAAAATGACATACAGCATTATTTTCAAACTAGCAGTGATTTAACCTAATTGAAGTAGAACCAAGTTGACTGTTGAATTTGTAGTTATAAAAAAAGGCAAACGGGAATCCCATCAATATTCACTGTTAAAAAATACTTCTAATTATCTTTGCAGAGCACATATTTATCCAAAAAGTTTTGAAACTTTTTGACAGCAGCATTAAATGCTACTTATTTTTCAAGCTAACTTTTGTTTCCTTGTAGATATGAATGATTTTCAGACTCTGCAATAGTAACTTACTCTGAATACAATAATCTGACAAGATGTAGCCCGTAGTCTGACAATGGACTATTAAGCATTATAATATAGCTGAAAAATTTCATAAAAACTGAAATCCATTCTATTGGATATATAACGAGGTTTTTTTGTTTTTGTTTTTTTGAGAAAAGAAATCTGGGGTCTGTTTCTGTGAAGTGCTAAATGATTGTTTAGGCAATGATTAGTCCAGTTGCATAACCCCTCCATGTGAAGAATTCCACAGATAAATAAAAATGAGCAATTGTCCCTAAGAGGAAAAAATGCCCATTATGCTGTATTGTATTTATAAATCTCAGATAGGACTGAAATGGTTTCAGTTTAGAAATCATGATCAAATTCTCCCTCAATAATGTATTTTGCCTATCCTGACTGAATTTTGTTTGCCTAAAGGAATCAGTGTTATTTGTTCTAAGTATTTATAGCTAATGCTGGATAGTCTGCATTCTTTGGGAATACTGTAATTGTAAAATTATACATATTGACCCTGCAAGTTCTGATGCTCACATCTGAAATGAGCCTTGAAGTACCACAGCAGCAAATGTGTCAAGGAAGCCTTCAAAGCTCTTTGACGTAAAGTTGTAGTAGTGAATTGTAAGCCTCAATTCTTTTTGACACATCATATGCAATAATCCTCTGGAATAATGCCTCAAATGACAGCAGTTTAAATAGTGTACATAGAAGGATCTGTATATAATATGTAATGATTTTTTTATACCTATGTGGAAACAACTGTAGACCTTACCTTCTAACTTCATCCCAACACTTAGACATTTTTGAAACCGACAATAAGGACAGCGCTTTCTTTGAGTTTTGTCAATCTGGCAGCTTTGATTTTCTATGCATGTGTACCTTTTGTTGTTCTGGACTGTTCGTTTAAAGAATCCCTGTAAAATAGATAGAACATATTTACAAATTTGGTACAAATGGCTTGAGCCAGGTATTTACTTCAGATTATGAAAACAGTCACCAAATCCTTTCTTCTACTTTCATCATGCTAATTCAGCATTTCTGAAATGGCTGGTTTGGTTCCAGATTTCCTTGGAGGAAACCCACTAGGCCACAGGCAGAAATTTTCCGAGGCTAGTCTGCACTGGTATTGATTTACATCAGATCCTGGCAAGGCATCTTCATTGTTTCCCTAGCCATCATCTACGAATAGCAAGCTGTCATATTTGTAGAATGAATTAAAATTCTTTCAAATTATCCTAACATTTTTAGAGTGGCCTTTTTTAATGCAGCACTTTAAGACAAACTTTCCCAAGATGTAAAAAAACAAACTAGTATTCGCCTATTTCTTTAGGCTTCATCAATATGAATCCTAACTCAGCCTTAAACCCCAAATGAAACTGTGCCTAAGTATGCTTCCCCCATCTACCACTTGTTATTATGGTCACTCCTGTTTCCGCTGGTGTACGACAGTATTCTTCACTTTATCTTCCACCACTCCTTCTGCATCGTCTTCAGCTATTTGGGATATGTGTGTGTGTGTGTGTGTGTGTGTATGTGTTATTTGCAAGGCTCTTTTTCTCCCCCACCCCCCAACACTAGGTACAGCTGCATAAATTATTACTTCTGGTGGTAATGATGATTGAAATCATATGCTAAACAACAAACAGATATTCTGTTTCTCATGTCTCTTTATGGTCTGGGAATAGTGGATGATAAGCATATTTACACAAGAAGTAATATTATAATGTGATTAACTTTTGATTCAGCATGAATATTGACTTGCTCAATATTTCCTTTATCTAAGTGGAACTTCCTTCTATGTAACATTGGCAGGTACAGGTTGCTATTGCATAAATATTTCTATAGAGTCCTAAAATTATGTATGTGTCACTCCAGAAAGCCGTGTTAAAATGACATTCCTTTATTACTGTGAACTAAACAATTTGCTTGGTTTCTACACTGATACAGAATTATTTTACACAACTGCAATTATTTAGTCCAGATTTAAGGTATGGCTGTGCATGGCACTGACCTATAACTGAGACTTAGCCAGATATGCATAAAATGGAATGCATGAGCAAAAAATATTCTTCATAGTGATGTATGGCATTTAAAAATCATTTAATTGATTTCCACTTAATCACCTTGCAAATAAATATGGGCATAAAATGCTGTGTATGTATGAGTATGTGTGCACATTTATAAGTATGTGCAAGCATAAAAAGAATGACAACAGAAATTTACATTTGCATCCTGAAAGATGAAAAACTTGAAACAGTCGCCTTCAATATTGTAGCCCTGAAATTTATCAGGAACAAGATGCAGCAACAATAATACTCAATGTATATAAATCAACTAAAATCAATATTGAGGACAGCTGAGAATGAAAGTCTCTCTACAACTACATCACTTCACGACAACCAAATATTTAAAGGCAGTAAATATAGCCACTCTGTGCAGAACACCCTGGGCGAGTTTTTCTTTTCATTGGCTAAAAAAGAGACTCTTTGCATAACTTCTGCCTTCCAAGAATGCTAATGTGCATCTTCATAATATTCTTTTTCCATTAAAACAAAAAAACAAAAAACAGAAGCATGATTATCTAGCATTTTTCTTGCTCTGATTTTCAGCTCCCCCCTCTTTTTCCATGAAAATAAATTGTACAAAACCTTGCAACTTTCACAGGTAAGGAGTCCATAGTGATACCCAGACACTTTATCTCCACAGACTGGACACAGTTCTTCAAGATCTTCATCATAAGAGTAATTCACCATTTTAAACTGAGACACTGGGGAAAAAAGAAGAAAAATAGGGGGAAAATTAAACCCCATGAGAATGTATAAAAAACTTTTGATGCATTATTTCTTCACTAGGGAAACAATTCCAGGACATCCATGGGTTTTATTTCCCTTTAAATCCTCAAAACAGGAAAGCCCAATTTTGAAACAACAGATTTTTATTAGCAACCAAAAAATATTATCTCCAAATTCAATTTAGGAAAATAAAATCTGTTAAAACTACCCACAGTTCTAAACACAGTAAGCATTTTATCTTACTAATCCAAAAACCTGGTTTTCCAAAATATTAAACTCTTAGCTCACTCCTATTTGTGCTTACACATAAGTAGGCAGGACTAGTTCAAGACATCCTACTCCGAAGTTTACATGCCTGAGGCTGCAGTCTTACTTTTCTTCAGTTTATTATTCTTAGGATAAAGATCACCATTTATTTGTAATATATTTAAAACGTAATTGCATTTAAAAATTAAAAATCAGATGACTAAGTGGAAAAGTAACTTTTGTCTCTATTTTGAAAGTTCTGCTATAACAAGTCACCTTTGAAAAAAAAACGTTTACCTAAACCCCATTTCAAAGTTACAAAACCAGTAGCCTGAGTGGAAAAAAATCAATAGCTTAAAACAGTATTTTAGAAAGAGGGATCAAGGGGAGGGGGGAGAGAACGAGCTGTAATTTTTACATATCCATCAAATTTGTCTTTAAAAAAGAAAACCTTCTTCTGCCTTAACTCTTTTTCTTGATATCTCAACTGGCCAGAGGAAATATATAAACTGTTCAAGGGTTTACATTTCCCTTCCAAACTCCTTCAAATGCTGGCAAAAGAAGAAAGTTTTACGGCAAGCTTGCTTGCTTTTCTTTCTTTCTTTCTTTCTTTCTTTCTTTCTTTCTTTCTTTCTTTCTTTCTTTCTTTCTTTCTTTCTTTCTTTCTT